CTAAACAATCACACCTGGGCGTTTTGCCTAGTTTTCATGCTAGTGGAGATGCTCCTCTTCAATCTCTGCTTTTTCGCTTACCTCGTAATTCGCCACCACAAAACAGTGTTTCTGGCCTGTGTTGCCTTCTTCTCCAAACTTGTGCCCAGTGGCACCGGCTCAGATCCACTCAGTGTCAGCGTCTCCACGCAAACAGCAGACAAAGAGGAGTATGGGGATGACTTAGCCCCCGAGGAGTTGCCTGAGAGTGTTGGCGAGCCCCCTGTGGCCCCAACCTTATCGGCAACAGCTGAGACACAGCGGACAGAAGACGATGATACTCCAGTCCTAGTCTTGGGAACCGACTCATCCTCCGATTCATTCTAACGGTAAATTGCACGCCACACGCCTCTTTTGCCCTTATTATTTTCTCTTTTTTTGATTGAAAACTTAAGGAAAACTGCTTTTTTTAACAGGCTTAAAGGCACATGTAAATGCGCTGTTTGCTATGCCACTCGTAAACGTCACTAGTCAAACAACTGGTCTACCTATGTAGGTAGTAACTCGGGGTGTCCCGAGTCAACGTTTACACAATTAAACAGTTGTTGGTTAAGGCGATGTTTGTTTACCCATTCGAGTCTGTCATGGCAATCAGACAAAGCCTTCAATGCAATAAGTTTTATTTTCTGCCAGACTCTGCGCTCCCACACAGCCACCATGATGCAAGATCCTACTCTGACGAGATCTTGTCAAACAGGCTAACTGGACGAAGGGGCTTCATAAAGTAATTTCCCAGCTCACTAGGCTTTACACTTCAAAATTTGTTTGATGAGGGTGTTCAAAGGATAGTTTACACTCTATAACCGGTATTTAACGTCGAATTTAAAGTAGCTAACATGTAGGAGAGCTCTCCGATAATAGACAAACTTTTTCTTGGTGTTCGCCGTCAAAACAGCTAACTAACTTCTGCAGCTGCTATTATATGCTGGATATGAAATGCATACTCGGTAACACTGCTTTCATACTTGTTCAGTGTAGATTCGTTTTCGGAAAGCCCTGCACATTCCGTTTTACCTTTGATAAATTCAGGCCACCGCGACAGCTTGTTGTAAGCAGCATCGAACGCCGGGTGGGACCTTCGGTAATTTCAAGTCCCACTTGCCTCATCATTCATGAAGGCTAGTTGTTTTCTTTTTTAGATACACTCATTAGCTATGTCAGAGAAGTAGATCCATGTCAACGTCGACTACTCAATCTGTAACGTAGATTATTCGTTAAAGGAAGTCATCATAGGTCCCAGTTGTTTCGTGTTTGAGGACGTCTTCGTCTGCTAAAGACATACCACTCAAAACAACACCCAATTAGTTTCGTAACCCTAAAGTCGTCGTTGGCCATAAACAGAATTTTCCAGCATTAAGCTGAGTATTTTGCGGCTTCCCAGATGGTGTGGACGAGTCTGGGGGTACGTTGGGGAATATGTTTACGAGTGAAGTTCTCGGTGCTTGTTTAATATTAAACTGCTTCATCGCGACGAAGAGTATCACTACGGTCCCGCAAAAGCGACTTAACTATTAATTTTTTCATGGTAAAACTGACTTCCGATGCGACTAAGCAATTCTTATTTGGAGCATCGACTGAGGAGACTGGAACCACATCCACGCGCACAACATGTGCTGATTCGTGGGTCCGTACGATCCACCTTTCAAATAGGATTTCATTCGTCGTAGGGCACAGTTAATAAGGATGTGTTGTAAAACCGAAGTGCCTCATGAATTTACAGCCAAAATTTGGATTGCTGGCGCTTTGTATTGGCGAAACGCGCTTTTTATTGCTTGCCGTGAGATAAAAGATGCACCTTTGCTGACTTGCACACTGGCATCTTACAGGTGATGGCAACTTGTCCAGCCCACCGGCATTCTATTTTGTTTGAACCGTCTTTTACTGCGGTGTGTGCCAAATGCGTTGCAGATAATATCACCCTAACCTCGATTTGCTCAGCTTGGGAAATAAAATTTCATGGAAAGGCATCCTTTGGGAAATAGGTAGTTTATTGC